TCCTCTGGACACTGTTTTCTCCACAATATTCCTCACAAGATGCTATGCTCTGTTAAGTTTTTATGTGTTCTTTGTATTGATTCTCAAGGAACACTTGCAAAACCGTTCCTTTTGGTTATCTTGGCCCCTCTTTACAAATCTGAATTTTCATTTGTTCTGTTTTATCAATACTTTCATAGTATTTTGAGATGAGTTTGTATTCATAAATTATGTCACTAATCTTCAAATATGTGGATATACTAGAAATATCTGAGTATTTGTATGTCTTGGTAACTTGTTTAGTTTATAAAACTTATTTGTATTGGCTTTTTCCCTTTGGAGAAACACAAGTTCTCTCTTGAATGCCCCATCCCTCAATCTCTCTTCTTCTTTCTGTTTCTCTAATTGTTTCAAATCTTATTTATTAATTCCTCTGTGTAGATACCGAAGAACAGAATCATCAGATCATATGGTAGTTACTTTTCAATTTTTGAGAAATCTCTATACATCCCAGAGACTGAACCAATTTACATTTCTGCCAACAGTGAATGAGAGTTCCTTTCATTTACACATAAGCACCACCACCACTTATATCAGACCTTTTTGAAATAGGCTAATTCTCACTGGTGTGATATGACTATAAGTGATGTTTCATTGATTTCATTTTGGTTTGATCATTAGTGTTAATGATGGGTATTTTTCATCTGACTGTTAGATATCTGAATGTCTTCTTTGGAGAAATGTTTTATTTAGTTCTTCTTTCTATTCTTTGATGGGATTGTTTGAATGTTGTGTATTCTTTAAGTATATTAGAAAGCAGTGCTTTATCAAATTGATGGTATGTGAATATTTTCCCCATTTGATAACATGTCATTTTATCTTTAAAAAACATCTTTTAATTTATTTTGAAGCAAGTATTTTATAATGTAAAGAAAGCAAGCATTTTGCTGGCAAAGTTAAGAAAAGGAGAGAGTAGCAAAGATGCTTCTGAAAGTCTCAAAGTGGGAGTCCAAGGATGAACACCCTTTATTTTAATGATAGTTTTTTTTTCACATTCAGAACTTTTTAACTCAATATAATCCCATTTGTTTATTTGGTTTTTTTTTTGGCCAGTGAAATATAATCACCAAAGATATCACTGAAATATTACCATTAACTATATTATTGTCTTTAATGTACTTTATAAATTGGGTATTGCTTTTATGTTTTAAACTATTTTAAGTTATTTTTTGTGTGTGGTGAAAAGAATGTCTCACTTTCTTTTGCATGTGGATATCCAGTATTCCCAATACTATCTGTTGAGAATTTCTTTCTACATTTTATGCTCTTGACTCCTTTGTCATAAGTTAACTGTACATATACACATATATATATAAACATATATATATATCCTAAAAGATATTTGTGTATATATATATATATATATATATATATATATGTGTGTGTCTCAATGGAGAAATTACTGGGCCCACTCAAGCAAATCAATGAACAACAGGAGGACAGTGACAATGACAGTGTACAAATACATATTTAAACCTAAAAATACATATATATATTTTTTTACAATGATATCTTTGTATTTAATTAAAGTCTACAGTACTTTTAAAAACAGAAAAGCATTTGAAATTTAGTATTGAAATGTCAGCAAAACCTACCTAAGAGGTAAAATAGCCAACAATTCATCCTCTGGTAAATTTTCCCACCTCCATTCCTAAGAACATGATCGGCAAATTTGATGGGAAAAGACATGCTTTTAAGAAGTGGTCTCTCACTACTACCTCTCAGTACTACTTGACAGAAAGATTGATCAGGCCAGGGTTGATAGAGGTTTGGCGGCAGTAATATTCTTCTTTTTTACTATTTCCAGACTTCTGGGTAAATGTAAAAGAAAAATATTTTAAAGGTAACCAACTAGAAATCAATGACATTTAAGTTAAAATAAATTTTATATTTTCACAACAGTTTACCGCCTTGTTTGTTTTTAATTCTTTATAATATAGGGAGTGCTACCATGTTTTTGGCTTTAACTATTTCATTTTTAGTGATAAAGGAAAAGCTTTTAAGAAACTTATCATCTGGCATAATATATGGTAAATGGGAAAAGGCTGCCAGGATTCAGTGTGCTGGAAAAATTTACAGCTTTGGCAACACATAGTTTCATCCCATCCAAACTAGGCTGGAGGACTCTTGAACTGGCAGTATCATGTTTAAGAGTCACTGAAATTGAGGTCAAACCACAAAGAACCATTTAGGGTTAGTTGAAGTAGGAAGGGGATAGGAAAGCTATCCTCACAAAAAATGAGCTGGTGCAAAGGAATGAGAATGTAGACAAATACCTGACAATTACTAATGGCTTAGAGAATTGAGTGATTTTAAGGGAATGTTGAGTATAGACCAAAAGGATAAAGCCAGGTAAGAAATTCAAACTGATCCTGAATTTAAAGGGGGGTCTCAGAGGATTTTAGGTGATAAAGTATTCTGGTGACTCAGGTCAGAAGTGTTGAGTTGACAATGGTGCTTTGTGGTGTGTTTATTAAAAAAATATTTAGGCAATAGAAATAGTACGTGCAAGAGATAGGAAAAAAGTAAAGCATCAAGGAAGATGCCAAGTTTAGAAGTCGATTACTTGTGCATAGCACAATTTATAGCATAGATATCCTAAAAGATAATAGCTTTTTCCCCCCACATTCCCTCTTCTGTCACATTTTAATATCATTCCTATTTTAACTAAGATAAGTAAATAGATTAAATATAATTTTTCTATTTATTTTTATAGATGGTGTCATTATTATTATATTTTTATTGAATCACAGTGAGATACTCAGTTAAAAAGCTGTTCATGATTGTGTTTCAGTCATATAAATGTTCCAATACCTGTCCCTTCACCAGTGTACATTTTCCACCACCAATATCCCCACTTTCCTTCCACAAATGAATAAAATCATTCATGTCTGTCTCTTTCCTTCTTACTCATTTCACTCAGCCTGATACTCTACACACCCATCCATTTATAAGAAAATTTCATGACTTCATTCTTCCCGGTAGTTATGTAGTATTCCACTGGGGAGATGTATCTTAGTTTCTTTATCTAGTCATCTGTTCTTGGGTACACGGATTGTTTTCAGTTTCTGCATATTGAATTTTAACACTTTAATGATGAGCCAAAGTTGGTCAGATATTGGATAAGAGAAAATAATTTTTTTTTGTTTCGTGCTGCTGGCTTTTGAAAATTGCATCAATATTTTTATTTTCATCTTCAGCAAATATGTTATGTTCATAATAAAACTTCTTTAAAAATCATTTCTTATGTACTTAAAGAAAAATTCCAAGTTTTTTTGCTATAATTTAATTTTAGTAGAGGCTGAATTCATATTATATATCTTAAAAGTAGTTTCTTTATCGCCCAGGAGAGGTCTTCTTTCAGATGTAAGATATTTTATTATAGGGAAAATATTTTATTTCTAAAATAAGTATTATTATATCTTTTCAGTGTGAGAAGAAGCTACAGGAAACTTTAAAGCAAGGTGCTGCCATTATTGCTGCCATAATTAAAGAAAGAAATCCTGGACTCATTGGTCAGCTTCTAATAGCATGAAGAATGCAGAGAAAACTACCTGCTAGATTTTAGAAATGTTTACTTAAGTATCTCTTATGTACTTTATTCCTCATGTAGTGATAAAATATTTAAACTTTCTTTTATATCTCCTAATCTGTAGAAAGTGATACTTAGTTATAAAAATATGCATGCAATGAAAAATTTTATGCATGTCAAATATAAATTATCTGAATCACCAGTGTACATTTGAAATGAACAAGTGTTAAATAATAGACTTCACATAAAACATAACTTTCACAGAGCCATAGAATTAATGATGGGTGAGATAAGCCTCCAAGTAATGAGAGTTGGGGGAATTCTCAATTATTATTTCTATGTAAATTAATAAATCATGTTAATGAAATGAGTAAGACTCATAATTATTCTTAATCTTAAATGATCCTATTTACATTTAATATTTTAAACATAAATTTTAATTTTCCATGCCTTAAAAAAATAGAAGGTATGTGGTAGAAAACTCTGGTTTTGAACTCTAATAAAACCTTAAAGGAGATGTAATTCCTCGCTTTTCTACCATTTTAAACTGTGTATTTTTCTTAATTCATGAATTATAGTATTAATTTACACTGTTTTAAAAGGTGTTCACTGAAATATATATCTAATGTATAATATTTTTCTATTTTATATTTCATTTTACAACTATATGTATTCAGCCATCAGATATTCTTTTTTATTCTACATATGGTTTCACATATAAATCATAAATTGTATGAAAAATTTTTGGTTATAGATAGATTCTGAATTATCTACCTTGTCATATTGATTCTTCTTATCATGTTGTATGATTTTCCCTATGCTTCTGAATTATTATTTATCCAACTCCCTATAGTAATAGGAGAGTTTATATCCAACATTTAATTAATACAGAATAGAGTATTACAGGCTTGGATCTTTTACTGTAGTTCATTATACTAAGTGAAATACGTCAGTTAGATGGCACTTGATATAGATTTCTGGGCTGCCTTCTTTTATATTTCTCTAATAATGTTAAGAAATACAGAATCACTTAATTAATTATCATGAAGGTGAAAATATGTGGGCATTGTATGTATTTTCATTAGAATATCTGTATTAGGTGTACTGGCTTGATTTAAAAGATCCATATAGTGTACCTATTAAGTATTCATGTGAAAATGTTAAAAAAAATTGAAAATGATGATATAGGCACATGGGTAATGTTACCAAGTTTTTAAAGAGCAGAGAGAGAATTTATGCAAGACAGGAGACTGCACATTTTTGGTGGCACAGTAAAATATATGTAATGTGCCGACAAAATTATCTTTGATTTCAGTTTAACAGTGAGATGTTAAACCAATATAAATCCATTCTAGGATGATATTATGACATCCTAGAGCATCAGTATGAATTTATAATTGATAATTTTTATGAGATTTAGGTAATAAAATAATAAATTCAGTCCAAAATTATCATCAGAATTTGCATTTTTCTTTATTGTTTACGAAGTAATTTTCATCATTGAAAATGATTCAAATAAGTCTCTCCACATCATTTACTGTATTCATGGAAATTGGGTCTCAAATCTTAATTACCTTGTCAAAGTCATATATATACCTAGTAGCAAAAAAGTTAAGATCTTCAACTCAGGAACACCTGAATAAGAAATTTTAAGCTAATCTTCCTGTATATGAATAAAAATTGCTGGCAAAGGACTATGAACAGAAACACTATAGTAAATGACTAAAGGATCCAAATGATTACTGAGAGAACGGGGAAAAAAGATAGATTGGCTCGATGACCACAGAAAAGTTCTGGAACTCTTGGCTTTCCAGCCATTTGGAACATAAATAAATTTTAGTTAGAGGTGAAGGAAATGGAAAGAATTATTGACTAAGAAAGAAAGATAAATTACTTGCTTGTATTACTTGTTCAGAAATCCAAAGGCAATTTTAGTGATACATTTTCATGACCAGGTATGAAAAGTTACTCCCATGAAATTTTTCCATTTTCACTTTACTTTCTGAAATCACTTAAAAAAACAGTAATGATCCAGAGAAACAATACAGAGCGTAGGGTACTTGCCTTGCATGCTGCGAACCCGAATATGATCCCTGGTACCACATATGGTCCTTTTAATACCACCAGGAATGACCCCTGCACACAGAGCCAGGAGTGAGCCCTGAATGCCAATTATGGCCCCAAAATAAAACAGTGCTTCAGCTTTGCTGAATTGCATTCTACCTGTGGAAAATGTTGTGGAAATATTATTTTCTCTTAATTTTATGCTACTGATTAAATTAAATTATTTTAAAAAGGTAATGCAATATTATTACCAGTATGATTAATGACTTCTAGTATTATTTCTTTCATAAGTGTGTCGGTTTGAGGTAAATTATTGCAAATATATTTAAACATCCATCAGCTTCTATATTCCACTTAGAACCATTTGTAATTCAAGCATATTGCGTTGTTTTAATTAGAAACTTTTTACCTGTCTAAATTATTAAATTATAAATATCAAAGCTTATTTTACATAAATACATAATAAGTTTTAAAAATTAAATTTCAAATATTTTTATATTAAATAAGTGCATTTTAATTGCTTTAAATGTTGAAATTAAGTATGGCAAAGAAGCATAAACATATTTTAATTAAATGTTAAGAAAAGCATTTGGGGAAAGAATGTTTTTAATTAAAAATTAATTAAAAATAAACAGAATATATGGTTATATGTTATTTTAGATTGGACTGATATAGTTAATATAAGCATATTAGAGAAGGCTGTGTAAGTGGTGTGTGGCATTGTCGTATTTACATATTTCGGGCCTTGGGTCACACCGTGAGATACGGTTACAAGATTTCATGTTTGAGTTTCAATCATACAATGATCAAACACTCATCCCTGGGACTGGAGCAATAGCACAGCGGGTAGGACGTTTGCCTTGCACACGGCCGAACCGGGTTCAATTCCCAGCATCCCAAAAACCACCCATCCCTCCATCAGTGCACATTATCCACCAGCAATGTCCCCAGTATACCCCCGCTTTCCAACCCTCCTCCTGCCCTGGGGCAGACAATTTCCCCCATACTCTTTCTCTCCTTTTGGGACCTTGGGTCTATGCTCACTGTGCTCTGGGCTTAACCCTATCTCTGTACTGAAGGATCACTCCTAGAGATGCTTCAAGGAACCACATACGGTGCCAGGGATTGAACCCTGCTCTGCCACATGCAAAATAATCACCTTATCCACAGTACTGTATGTCTGATTTAATAACATTCACATATTTTCTTGTATATTTTAACTGAAAAATTGTGAAAAATATATGAACATTTAAATGAAATGTATTATTAAATATTCTTAATATGTTCTCTATATAAAGCTAATTGATAAATAAATTTAAGAAATTGATAGTCTAATTGTAATTTGCTATAGTATTTTCTGTTCATAAAGATTTTTAAACATTCAGTCATAACTGAATAACTAATATAACATCAAAAAAGATTTTTTTTTACTTTTACACAGTTTATTTTTTTTTCATTTTTTATAATTTTATTTATTGAATCATCGTGAGAGCAGTTACAAAGCTTTTGGGTCTAAGTCTCGGTCATACAATGAAACACCTGTACCTTCACCAGTGTCCATTCTCCACCACCAAAAACCCCAGTATACCCCCATCCCACACCCTCCCCCTACCTGTGGGGCAGATCATTTCCACATTGCTCTCTCTCTCTACTTTGATCACATTCAATATTTTGATACCAGACCCACCATTATTATTTGAGATTTTGCCCCAACACTCAGATCTGCTGAAAAGGCAACAATAGACAATTTGTGTTCTATTGCTGGTTATGAATAACGTATGATGTCGCGTGGCTGCAGAAGGGCCATGTGGTTTTGAAATTACAAAATTTTAACACTTAAATCTGGAGGGATTTTTGCTAAAAGCCACTGAGTTTTGAGATCTGCTCCTGAGTCTCTGGGATCATGGCTGTTGAGTAGTTTGATGAGGAGCCAGAGAGGCCGTTTGTGGGCGATGACTTGGGATCTCGTTGGGGTAGGGAGGACAGGCCTGGCTCCACCCCATCCCGTGAGGTCGAACAAGTTTCGTCACTGCGGGCCCAAGCCTGACTGTCCAATGGCCTCTGGAGTATGACAGCCACCAAGCCACCAATGGGGGAGCAGGCGGAGGGACAGCACCCTTTCCCCCCTGGGGTGGCCCGGCGACAGTAACATACTGTGGGGTCTGGACACATTTCTGCCAAAAGCCACTGGGTTTTGAGATTTGTTTCTGAGTCTCTGGGATCATAGTCATTAAGCAGCTTGATCAGGAGCCAGAGAGGCCATTCATGGGCAATGACTTGGGGTCTCGTTGGGGTGGGGAGGACAAGCCCGGCTCCACCCCCATCCTGTGAGGCCCTGTGTGTCTCGTCACTGGGGGCCCAAATCTGATGATCCAGTGGCCTCTGAAGGATGGCGGCCACTGGGCCACCAGGGGGAACAGGTCAAGGCACGAAACCTATTCCCACGTGGGTTGGCCCAGCACCCACCCCTACTGCAGGGACTGGACGCATTTCTACCTAAAACCGCTGGGTTCTGAGATTCGTTTCTGAGTCTCTGGGATCATGGCCATTAAGCAGTTCAATCAGGAACCAAAGAGGCCTTGCCTCCAATTATATAGCTGAGCCGTAGGTGGTTTGTGGGTGTGTTTCCCACATACCTAACTTTTGGCTGTTTACTTTCTTGGTAAACTTTGCCCCAAGTTTTTGGGGTCTGGCCAAAGGCACAGCAGCAATTTTGGGGTATCTGGAAGTCTGAAGGCACGATCAGGCTGCTGGTGCACTTGCCTCACAGGTACAGATTGACCTGCTGATGGCACCATACCCCCTTACACAGTTTATTTTTGATTTATCCATTGTTCATGCAAACAACTCGGGTCGGCCATGTGGGCTGGAGCGATAGCACAGCGGGTAGGGCGTTCGCCTTACACGCGGCCAACATGGCCGACCCGAGTTCGATTCCTCCGCCCCTCTCGGAGAGCCCGGCAAGCTACCGAGAGTATTCGATATGCCAGACACAGTAACAACAAAGTCTCCAATGGAGATGTTACTGGGCCCGCTCAAGCAAATCGACGATCAACGGGAGGGCCTTTACCTTTACCTTACCATGCAAACAACATACATGAAATGGTTGCAAAGAGAAATGCTGTGGTAATAACATTCAGACACCAATCAACCTGAAGGTGTATGTCTCTCACTAGATACACAAGGAAAACCAATATAATGTGAAAGAATTAAGAGCTTCAGTAAATCTATAATTTGAGACTCTTGAGATTTACAAAAAAATATATTTTATATTATAGAAAGTTAGAACCCAAGTTTCAAACTTATCATTCTAGAAAAACAATTTTATTATTTGTAAAACCAAGAATTTTATTTTCTTTTTGTCTCCTAGTACATTTCCTGGCTCTTACTGCTGCTAATAGGGACGTAAAACTTATAATCAAACCTAGTGGAAATCAATATTGTGGTTACTCAACGCATGCATGTATATGTGAATTATTTTTCAGAAATAGTGTTTCCCTCAAGCATACTTTTCATGGGAGGACTATGTGTGCACTCTTGGCTTTAAAATTTTCCTGGTTTCTTTGACACCAAATAAGACAGAAGCAGCAGTGTTTCTCAGAAAAAAAGACTGGAAGACCTACTGCTTGCTCTTTTACCACCATGTTCTTATCAGCTTGCCAAGCTTGGTCTGCCACCTTCAGAAAGAAGAGGAAAGCCCAGATGGGGGAACAAACCAGTTGAGATCAGCAGGGCACTTAGTGCAGTTCCATTGACAGGTAGGCTAAATACATACTCAGTGAATTTTGTTAGTTCTGAGATTTGATTCTTGTCACTGCACAGCAAGGTAAAACAAGGAAATTTGCTTTGTGGCAGGGTATATATTATATGACCTCGCTAGTCCAGAACATAACTGGAGACACATTTTGCTGACTCAGAGTGTTTATAAGAATTTATGATCCCATCAACGGCCAAGATTCAGAGACTATAAAACCCAGCTCCTGGAAGAGAACAGCGCAGAGTCTCCTGCCCCCACGCCTGGCTGTCCTCCCCAGGGCCCCTTGGAGGGGAGCGGGTCGAGTTTTCCTCCCCGCCCCGACCAGGGCTCCGGCAGCCGAAGACTTCCAGAACCAGCCACCACTATGCTGAGACCACTCTCCGCACACATGAAGGTACCGGCAGAGGGACAAAGTCACGTGGGTTCCGGGGCCGAGATCTCCAAGCCTACTCGGATTGGAGCTGAGCATCCTCCACCCAGATCCTCCAAATTCCAGTAGGCGGGGGTCACACCCACCAACTGGCCCCCTGGTGCAGTGTAATCCCATCAACGGCCAAGATTCAGAGACTATAAAACCCAGTTCCCGGAAGCGCGCGGCCACATTCGCG